TGTGAGATTGTGTTGAGGATATAGCCCCATATTAAACACTCAGGCTAAAAAAAGATTAATATATAAGAATATGAGTTACTCTCCTCATTTCAATTGCTTTTGGGATTGGGACTCACAATTCTACATGGTATTAGAGTTAAGACATAGCAGCTCAAAAAAAGAAACCAGATCAATTTCAGCAAGGGACAACGGTGGGGATGTTGAGGGTATAGTTTCACATCAAACACTTAGGTTAAAAAAGACATATACGTACTATAAGAATATGAATTACTTCTTCTTTTGCTAATTAGTTTTAGGATGCAATTTCACAATTCCTATAAAAATTTCTCATATTTTATCTAAGCATAACTCATATCTAACAAATTATCCATTTTACCCAAAATATTCTGCGTATGTTTTATCCAGAAAGCAGTTGATTGTTTATAGAAATGAGAGCCAACTTTTGAGGGTTGGTTCTGGCATTCTGCTTACTGTTGTCATTTTAGCTTATTTGTAGGTCTTAAAATCTTGCTGATTTTCTTGATGTCTCTTTTAAAACTTTGAAAGGGGCAGTTTCTTTTCTTTTTTATTTAACCCCTAACTTCCGCTCCCTTAGGTTATGTTTATTTACAACATGGAAAATTGCAGGAAATGGAAATAGATAGGAAAATATAGAGGAAGCTAGAAAGAAAGATAGCATGGGGAAAATAAAAGATAGATGCAAACCCGATCATTCTATTTTAGATATTTCTCCAATGTTTTTTTCTTGATTTATTTCTATAATGTAAAGACTAGGAAATCGAAATGCTTAAAAAAATCATAGTTTTAGTCTTTTAGACAGTTGTTAACCTTGTTGTATAGTAGCAGTTTCTCGAGTAAGACAAGAGCTTTGGCATCATCAAGTTCAAGATTTTTTTGTCAAGAATCTTTGAATGAGCTTTTCAATTCATTGTCATACAAGAATCCATGTCAACGGAGAGGAAATCGCCTCATTGTTAGAGCCAATAAGGTAAGATGTAATAATGGGGTTGTTATATTGCTAGTATGGAACAAAAAAGTTGTCTCCTTTATGTGCAAAATGCACTGAACATTTGGTTGACTACACTGCACTTTTTTTGCAGGACTTCTATTCTATTCTCGGTGTATCCAAAAATGCTAGTAAATCAGATATTAAAAGTGGTAATTAACAGCTTATTAACAAATATCTTATATTGTTGATGGTTCGTTTAAATGACATGTTACACACTTTTTACTACATCTTACTGTCAACAACACTATAGATTAGAATCTTATTGGAAGGTGAATATTGAGTAAAGTATTGTATGTGACAAAAAGTATCACAGGTATACTGTTTTGAATTTTATTCTTGTTTTTTAATAAGAATCTTATTCTTGTGATAGTGTCTATGTGAAGTGAAAGTGGTTGTCATCTAGTACTTCTCCTTCCCCAGAAAGATCATGCCAAAGTTTTTCCCCCAAAAAAATGAATTATATTTCATCAAGCAAAGCTAACTGTCTGTGTAATTTACCGATGATTTTCCAAAAAAGTTGACAAAAAAGATAAATATGATAAATTATAAGGTATTAGCTTAACTAAACATGACCACTTCTTTGACAGGAGTGAGGGACTACTTGATTATAAAACCTGTCCACTTGATTGGTGATTCTTCATACAATCATTTACACATTTACATGCATGCATGCCTCAACCATGAAATGATATTATTAAGAGCAGTAATTTGTACATTGCTATGAAAAAAGTTCAGCGTCATATGCTGATATCTCTTTTTGTTTTCAGCTTATCGAAAGCTTGCACGAAACTACCATCCTGATGTAAACAAGTAAGTAGAGTATTTTACAGCTAAAGTTCGATGCATTTTAATGTGGTCTTCTGTAGTCTGTACAGTACTTATTCAGGAGAAGTAGGTAAATATTTGGTAAAAGTGTAGGGCGGGCAATCTTTTCCATTGTTATTAGTAGTTGTGTACACTCATGGTTTTATTCAAATGCAACATTTATTTTTTCCTCTGCTGATTTGATTCATGATTTTGAATTATTTCTCTCTTTCATAGAGAATCTGGAGCTGAGCAGAAGTTTAAGGAGATCAGCAATGCTTATGAGGTAACATTATTTAAGGTTATGGTCATTTGAAATTTCATTCGAGGAATGAAAGCTGTGTTCTTACCATGTCCACCTTTAATGGGAAACTTATGTTGCAGGTCCTGTCAGATGATGAGAAGCGTTCAATTTATGACAGATATGGGGAGGCTGGGCTAAAGGGTTCTGGCATGGGTACAGGGGTAAGTTTTTATTTGTTTTATTGTTATAAGTATTATTATTTTTGCTTCCTGTAGGGTAAGTTTGGATCCCAGAAATTAATAAGAAAAAATGCCTAGGGAAGTTTTTACGTTGGAAAATATCAAAATACAAAGAAAAGAAATATTTTTATGCTTAATTTTTTAAAATATATTTTATCTTTATAAATTTCTAAAATAGAATTTGAGTTTAAGTTTATCATTTCATTTTCCCCAAATGCTATGACTCTATTTTTACCAAACAATTTTTCACTACATTGACACTAAGTTTCATCCTTTGTAATGGTTTTTTTTTCATAAAAAATGTTCCGGAGACACTGGGAAATAGGGAGTGCTTGTTATGAATGGCCCTTAGATGGTATAACATTTGGGTTCCAAATGGACCCTTAGTAAATGAGGGAACACAAACCTTTGGCCCTTAGATGGTATAACATTTATTTTTATTATTTTCTGGACAGGATTTCAGCAATCCGTTTGATTTATTCGACTCATTATTTGATAGCCTGGGTGGGATGGGTGGTATGGGGGGAAGGGGATCAAGAAACAGAGCCACTGAAGGGGAAGATCAACTCCACAACCTTGTTTTGAATTTCAAAGAAGCTGTATTTGGGGTTGAGAAGGAGATTGAAGTCAGCAGGCTCGAAAGCTGCAGCACGTGCGACGGATCTGGTGCCAAACCAGGGACGAAATCGTCAAAATGCAACACGTGTGGCGGCCAGGGGCAGGTGGTGTCCTCTACAAGGACTCCACTCGGCGTCTTCCAGCAGGTGATGACCTGTTCGTCTTGTGGTGGCACCGGAGAGATCTCCACGCCTTGCAACACGTGCGGCGGTGATGGAAGGGTAAGGAAGTCAAAACGCATCAGCCTGAAAGTTCCCCCCGGCGTAGACTCCGGCAGCCGTCTGAGGGTCCGCTCCGAGGGAAATGCCGGAAGGAGGGGCGGGCCCCCCGGGGATCTTTTCGTGGCCATAGAGGTCCTACCGGATCCGGTACTGAAAAGGGAAGACGCGAACATTCTCTACACTTGCAAGCTCTCCTACGTGGAGGCTATTTTGGGAACCGCGAAAAAGATCCCGACGGTCGACGGGGAGGTCGATCTAAAGATCCCGGCCGGGACCCAGCCCGGGACGACGCTAGTGATGGCCAAGAAAGGGGTGCCGCTTCTCGGGAAACCCAACATGAGGGGGGACCAGCTCGTGCGGGCCCAGGTTGAGATCCCGAAACGGTTGAGTAGCGACGAGAGGAAGCTGGTCGAAGAACTCGCGAATTTGAGCAAGGGAAAAACAGCTACTACCAGCGGTAAGAGGTAGTTAGGATGGATCATCATCAACTTTATATATATATATGTGTGTGTGTTTGTTCTTGAGGAGTTGTGAAATTTTGACCATTGGGTTTGAACTATATAATATATACTGTTGTTATTGATAGAGCCCAGAATTGGGTGAGTGTTAGATTCTGAGGCATGTGGATGTACATTTTATGGTGTCATTTTAGCACACTCATGTTGTGATATTGTTTACTTCTTTGTTCTTTGTTTTTATGGAACCGAGATGGCAATTGCTCATCAAGTCGTGACGGTTTTGTGTTTTTGCAAAACTTGTACGCTTCCATTACTATTCAAATGGTTCGGTGTGGTTTAATTTCGAAATTAGAATCATCATTTGGTATCCTATTATTACTCACTTATGAAGATGGGATGAACCAACGTCTTAATGCCAAACCTAACCATTATTTGAGGTTTGACTGTAAAAAAATAATTTCAATTTTTAGAGAGAGAAGTGGCGATAAACGGAGTTATAGATATTTGATGCACTTAGATGGTGTAAATCAAAAGTAGAAAGAAAAATTATCGAGCGGTGAAAATCATTTCTAGAGCATAGTTTATACTTTTGAAATCACAATCTATAATATAAAGTTGATTGGAAAATATTTAACAAAGTGTTTCAATGAAATAGAAGCTCAAAATTTATTTTCAAATACTTCCAAACACCTCCTTAGTAATTTACTGAACTCTAGTGCTTTTTTATAAAACATAACTAAAAATGGTCTTTAGCAAAATCTATTTTTATAGAAATGAATAAACTTCAAATTGAGATGAATAAAAAAGAATTTTGGGAATAAGTAGATTTGTGAGGTGAAAGGATAGAAATCAATACATTTTGAAATAATTTTACAAAATTTTATTTATTTACTTTGTAAAATTTCTCATGCCTAGTAAAGATGTGAGCTGAAGGAAAAAAAGAATGAAAAAGGTTGGGGTGAGAGAGGCTCGAACTCTCGACCTCAGGATAACTCAGAAGCTATGAGACCTACGCGCTAGCCAACTGCGCCACCACCCCTGCTTGTTTCCTCGTGTAGTAGTTGTTTAAGAAATATAATTAATCATGTTATGATACTTATTACCTTCGTTACTAAATTAATAAATCACTATGGTGCTTTAAAATGTGCACATTTTTGTGCTTATATTCATTAGTTATGATATAGTGAATTTTTACCCAATTCCCAACTATACGTCTTTTAACTTTTGTATATTTTAAATGCTAGCTTCTTACTAAAGATTGTATTCAAATGAATTCACATACTTAGTATAATATTTTATTGATGAAGTGAAATTATTCATAATTGATGCACTTATGTACTAAAAATTGGGATAATTAACTATGATTCCATGAAACATACTAAAAAGTATTATGTGATATTTTGAGTTGATAAATAAGACAATTTGTTAGTAACATGTAAAGTGCAATAGGCAAACATGACTACTAGAGCGTCCATGAGGGAAGGAATAAGTAAGAAATACTCCGTATATTTTTCTTATAAAAATTGTATGAATACATTGTGGAAACAAAAAAACTAAAAAAAGTTAAACAATGCAAGGACACAACATACATTATTACACTCAAAAGGGCAAAATGGCACTCCAAAAACATCAACAATGAATATGATCCAGATAAGATGATCAAGAATGTCACTTATTTAAATAAATCTAAAAAATACTGAACACTAGCAATGACATGCATGTGTTGACATGAATCACATCATGTTGGCATAATGTTCGCAGATCAAGCGTTGGGCCCCGTCGACAAGACGACGGATGACTTCCCGAGCTGGAAGAATTTCCTTGATAAGAGCAACGCCTTCGCCCGCATACATTACCATGTTCTCTATTTCACCGCTTGCAGCTGCATTTGGGATTGTCCCCGCAAAACGGCGTATCGCCCTTTCCTGGTCAAGAACAAATCAAAGTATCCCACGTTAGAAAAATATAAAGAAAGGATATATAACAACATGAAATATTTGCACTAAATAGCATTAAAACTTAACTAAATAGCATTTAAATTGTTTTATTCTCTAAATAACATTTCTTTCTATCCTAAACAAATTCAAACATTTCTCATTCTCAAAATATGAAGAGGGGATATATAATCCCACCTTGCCATGTATAGTTGAATGACCAATAATGGGCTGATTGGTCTCATTCTCATGGCTGGGGAGACTCCTCCATTCCAAAAAGAATGGGGTCTTTAGGACCCGATGCGGTGACGGCCACCGAGCGCGACCGAACACGTCCGTGTACTCAGTGTCATCGAGTTCAACCAACTTTCTCTTGTATATCGGGTGAGCATTGCTTTCCTCTGTTGCAAGGAACCTACACCAAAAACAAAAGAAAATTAAAGAAAATTGTGTAATAATTTTTCCATTCTTTTTAATTTATCATTATAACTTTCACGATAAATAAAAATTTTTATTAGACACTGAATGAATTGAAGATAGAGTAGAATATGTACCTGGTGCCAAGGGCGACGCCCTGGGCTCCAAGGGCAAGGGCTGCGACGTAACCACGCTCGTCCACTATTCCTCCCGCGGCTATGACGGGTATGCCACGATCACGAACTAGATCCACCACTCTAGGAACGAGGCTAAATAAAGAATCCTAAAAAAAAGAAATAGCGCGAAAAAACTTGCCTCATTTAACGTTTTGCACATTAATATACAACAACAACAAATGGCTCTATCGATTAAGGGTCGAATCGAACTCGAACCGGGTTTTTCATACCTGGCCAATGAGGTGCCCTCCAGCTTCCCGACCTTGGACGATAATTGCATCAACTCCCACATCGTATGCTCTCTTTGCTTCTTCATAGCTCCCCACCTTATAAAAATAAGATATTAAACTCTTTAAATAAAACGAATTCTAATGATGCATTTTATTTTTAATTCCGTGATAATTAAATAAATAACTTTTTTTGGGACAAAGGGAGTACATTGAATCAAAGGTTAAACTTATGGTTGGAAGCACATATAAAAAGTTTTAATTTGTAACATGTCCTTTTAGGTGCGATCCAGATTTATTTGTTTGAGCCTCACCTATGAGGTTCAAAAAATTGGAAAATTTGAAATAAAAAAAAATAGATCGGAAAAGGTATCAAAAAATAAAAAGAATTGAAAAAAGAACAAAAAGTAGCAAACAAAGAGAAAACAAAAACAGCTAAAAAGATAAAAAAAAATGAAAAATTTATATTATTAAATGTTCATCAATCTAATTACTTGATATTCTTAAATTTGATACAAATTTACATTTAAAATTTAAATTGTTCTAAAATGATTATTAAAAATCAAATTCAATACTAATTCTAAAGCACAAGCACTCTGAAAAAAATAAAATAGGACTCAACACTTAATTTTGCACATGTCAATCTCATTTTTTCACATTTCAAAGCCGGCCCTGAAGATTGTACTGCCGAAATAATGAATATATCTGTAAAACACATAATGTCAAATGTAATGTCACTCTGTGGGAGTACTTGTGAGTCGGTGATGCTACTCCCTCCTCCGTCCAAGATTGCCACAGTTTGACTTTTTTGGTCAAACTGTAACTGTATTTTGAAATATCAAATTTTTTATAATATTTAATCATTTTAAACTATAAGTCATTCTTGGTCAAAGGATGCTATACTTTTAGAGACGGAGAGAGTAATAAATTAGGAGAGGGAGAAAGAGAAATACTTGGGGCACAACAAGGACGCCAGCTTGATGAGCTTGAAGCAGAAGCTCCTCCTTGCAGTCCCCCCAAAAAAGCTCCAAAACAGCCACTTTCTCTTCCAGAATTGCCCTTATGTTCCCCTCGTTTGGGAATTCAAGAACCACTCCTATCCCGAATGGCTTCTCCGTCAATCTCATCGTCTCTCTTATCATCTCCCTGACCCGATCCGGATCGTCCTTCAATTATAAATATAAAAAAATAAAATTCAGTCAATCATAAAAAAGACGTATATAATTTCATTTCATTTGTACTCACAGAATCAGGGCCTCGGAGGATGCCAAGACCGCCGGCGTTCGCGACGGCGGCGACGAGCTCCGGACCGGAGGCGTCGGGTCCCATTGGAGCCTGTACGATCCCATACTCGAAACCCAATATTCCTCTCCAGCCCATTATCCAAACCCAACCCTACCAAAGTAACCTTGCGGACTGATCTGAGTTGTGGGTAATAATATTCTCTTGATTCTTTGTTTTCTTTTTCGCTAGCTCTGTTATTATTACTTTTTGTATGAGTCGGAATTGTTGAGAATGGATGAATGAATGCCAATTTATAGATGTGCGCCCTTTTTTCTCTTGGGCCAATGTAAAATTAAACAAGTAATATGATACTCCCTCCTAGGGGTGTTCATCGGGTCAAACCCGGACCGGACCGGCTCGGACCGGGACCAGACTGGGACCGAATAAGGGGCTTTTGGTGGACCGAGGACCGGACCGATTAAGCTAAGGATCGGCCTGGGACCGGACCGGTAAAACCCAGACCGGATCGGGACCGGACCGAATAAATGTTATTTTTAATTTTTTTTTAAATTTGATTTTATTTGTTTAATTTAAAGTATTCAATTGAATAAAAATATTACTACAACTAATTTTTAATTGTAACATACTCTAAACATTGTCAAACACATTTGTTTTGAATTTTTAAAAAAACTTTAAACAAAATATATATCTTCCATCCGTATTACATAAAATTTGTTCGTAATTTTTATTTTACATAGAGAATATTCTACTTCTTTGTTCATTTTTGTTTTTTTGTAATATTTTTTTGAGTTTTCGATTTATTTTGACAAACGGATACATTTTTTACCATTTTTGTTCATGAGATTGTTTACAATGTTTGTTTTTGCGGATTATCGTTTCATTAATGATAAAGTACAAATTTAAGTGATAGTATTGGTATATAAATTTGAAATGCATTAGATCGCTAATATAAAGGTAATGTTTACTTTTTCACACTTTTCATATTTAAAATATATGAAAATCATTAGAATTGGTATCTTATTTTGAAAATCAAAACATTTAAAAAACTTTTAGTATTAAAGTTAAATTAATTTTAGGCATAAGAAAAAACCTTAAAAAATACAATATTATAATACTATATAGAAAAAAATATTAAAAAAAAAAATGTGACCGGTCCACCGGTCCGGACTGAAACCCGGTGGACCGGACTGGACCGGACCGGAACCCGAATAAGGAAAAATTGAGGACCGAAGACCGGACCGAATAAGGACCGGTCCGGTCCGGTTTTGGCCGGGTTTCGGGTCGGTCCGGGTCCGGACCGAATAATGCACACCCCTACGGAGTACAATTTATTTGAAACAATTTTTCGAATAATTCAAATGAAAAAAAAGTATATACTTCTTTGCTCTCCAGTAAGTTTATTTCAGTCTTACATTAAGAAATGACTTATGTTTTAGTCATATTCCGTGCAAATTTTACTTTTTTTATAAGGTACTCTTTTATGTTACTAACATTGTTTTTTAAATATTACTCACATCTTCGTCGCATATTTTTCTTCTCAGTTTAATTTTTGAAGTAAATATTTTAAAATTTTGATCATAAATCATGGAAAAAATACATTAAACTAAAAGATATACGGAGTATTTAACATCAATAGATTAATTTCAAAACGTGATTTTGAAATATCATATTTTCAAATTCTATATTCATATATATATATATATATATATATATATATATATATATATATATTAATGGTTAAAGTAATCTTATATTGAAAACTATAAAAAGTAAAATGAGAAAAAAATATGGAACGAAACAGAGAGATACATATTCCAAATACTCTCTCCGCCCTAAGACTATTTTCTCATTCCCTATTTACTGAGTCAAACTTTATCAACTTTGTTAGCTTATTTTCGTTACTAACATTATTTTTTTAAATATTATTCACATCTTCGTCCCATATTTTTCTTCTCGGCTTTATTTTTGTAGTAAATATTTTAAAATTTTGACCACAACTTATAAAAAATACATTGAATTGAAATACATAATTAATATCAATAGATTCATTTTGTAACATAATTTTGAAATATCATATATATATATATATATATATATATATATATATATATATATATATATATATATATATATATATTAAAAGTGTTACATTAGAAATTGTGAAAAATAAAATGAGAAGAAAAATATAGAACAGAGGGAAACACATTCCAAGTACTCTCTCCGCCCTAGCTAAAACTATTTTCTCTTGCACTATTTATTGAGTCAAACTTTATCCACTTTTTTAACTTATTTTCTTTATTTATTTGATACTCATTAAATAAAATAGTCATGTCACTTCCAATTTTGTGGATCTTTTATTTTTAAGTTTCATATCAATTTTCTAATAAATTAAATTGAAAATAAATTCAGTCAAACATTGTAATACACGACGCAAAGTTAGTTTTATGACGGGAGTTATTAAAAAGTGAAAAATTGATTTGGGCACCATCTCCCTAATTTTAAAGTTTTAAAAGTACTACTCCTTTCGTCCCATATAGACTTTCACAGACACTCTTTGCTTCGTCAAATTTAACTCATTTTAAATAATTATTGCAATCTCAAGTTAGAGTGAGTCATAAAATTATTGTTAATTTTATGGCGATCCAAACCTCGCATACGTGCGGAAAGGTGGGATTATTTTCAGTGATAGTGAAAAGTAAGATTATTTTTTAAAAAAAGCGTGAAAAGATAGAATTATTTAAGATAATTTTCTCCAAATTAAATGTGAAACATTTTTATATGATTCGGATTAGAGTATAACTCCATCTTAAGGTAGGAATCATTTATGTTATTTAATTTTTTTTATTTTTTTGGAAAACTACATGAATACGATGCAACCTAGTCATCCTCAGACATTGTCACATGACAATATATGCTTTTTACATTCCCGTTTGACATTACCGTTAGAAATTTAACGTTTTTAAAAGGTTGTCTGATGGCAGTCTTTAGTATTAGAATTTTCATAATTAATCTATACCATAAAAAATTTTTCAAAAATGCTAACGCTAATCAAAAACGTTGTTTCCAATCAGCGTCATTATCTCAGAGCGATTATCCTATCTCCCATTGTTTTTATTTCATTTTATCTTGTGATCTGTCCTTTTATTTTTGTCTAATTACTAATTTCATCTCGAGAAGAAAGAAAAATAATATTACCAAAAATAAAATAAAAAACACTAAATTTGAACTGAATAATGTATGGCCACTTATATTTTATTCCAAAACGTTAGCTCCTGAAAACTTGATCAGGGCTTCTTCAACAATGGTGCGTTCATATAATTTTTTGGTGACCCATCAATCAAAAACCAAAAAATAAAATTAAAATAAAAAAAGAAATAAAAATAAAGATGACCCTTCAGTTCCATATAAGAATACTTTGGCCCTTGGTGTATTTGGACGGGTAACCTGCCGATTGGGGGAGGAGATTTTGGCTTCCAATGGCCCCACAGAGTACTTCCTCCACAAAAGCACTTCACATTTAATTTTTCACGATCTTTATTAAAATAATTTAATCATTAATATTTTTATTTAAATATAAATTTAAATTCTTAAAATATAATATTTCAATATATTCTTTTTTGTTATTTACGTTCAAATTTTAAAAAAATTAATTAAGAAAGTCAAAATAAAAAGTTTTTTTATCCTTTCAAAAAAAGAAGGAAAGTTAGGTAAAGAGACTAGAGTACTAAAAAAAATTATGAACCTCAATGATAAGGGGTAATGATTAAATTGGGAGTAATGCAAGGGTATTAGATTAAAGTATAATACATTTAGACTGAATCATATTAAAAAATTATATTTAATCGATGGTTCAATTCAAGAGATTATATAATCATTACTTTCCATTTGAGTTTTTGATGTGAGATATTTTAACATCCAACCTTCATTGTCTTCTAGTATTGGCCAAATGGTAATCACATGTAGTATTATCTTCTCGACCAGTTGAACTACGTTAAGTGAATAATCAGAGACGTGGATTCTTCCACTTCAAAAACCGAACTATGCAACTCATGGTGGGTAGAAATCATCAATTTTTATAACGGAATACCGTAAGAGCCACAATTTGACCGGTGTCATAAGATGGCACTCAAAACGAATGTAATTATAACCTTACCGATTTATCAAAGATTAATAATTTAGAACAAAAATGAAATGGTGTTATTGAACTAAAATGAATGGCATAGAGCTTAACTGAAAAACGATTTAGTTCAATTACAATAATATTTTTGTAGTTAATTACACTTTTCTTTTAATGAAGTGGTTGGCATAAATAATTAAGCAGTCATGCCACCATTTTAGCTTGTTCACAAATCAAGTGTTGGGCTCCGGTGACAAGCCCGCGGACCACTTCACCCGCGGGTAGAATTTGGTGAATCAGACCAACGCCCTGACCCGCATACATTGCCATGCTCTCTACCTCACCCCTTGCACTTCCATTTGGGACTGGTCCCGCAAAACGCCTAATTTCCTTTTCCTGTTCGAAAACGAAAAAATAAGACTAACACTGGGACTTCATAGAGTTTAAGAAAAATGTTGGCAAGTAAAAAAAATAGACATCGCCCGAAGTATAATAATTAGAAATATTTGCATTAAATAGCACTAAAACTTAAGTCATTTCCCTAAATAGCACTTAATAATGTCCAGTGATGACAAAGGCAAATATTTACTTGAATAATGACTAATGCATAATGACTAAAAGTGCTACATTTGGAAGAAAAATACATATGGTGCTATTTAGGGAAAGTCATTATGTTTTAGTGCTATTTACGTAAATTCCCCTAATAATTAATCACCTTGTCGTGGATGGTCGAATGGCCAATGATTGGCTGGGTCGATTCATTCTCGTGGCTAGGGAGGTCCCGCCATTGCATGAAGAACGGCGTCTTTAGGACGCGGTGGGGTGCCCCCGGCCACCGAGCACGACCGAACACGTTTGTGTACTCGGTCTCGCCAAGTTCGATCAGCTTTCTCTTGTATATCGGGTGGGCGTTGCTTTCCTCCGTTGCAAGGAACCTACGGCGACGCAAACGTGGTTAGATCCAGGAGCCATGCATTCTCTATCAAGTGCTTTCATTCTTCGCAATTAAAAATTATCTAAAGACGATAAGGCTAATGAAAAACGTTGTTCCCAAACAAAGTTTCAGACCTGGTGCCGAGTGCAACACCCTGAGCTCCAAGTGCAAGAGCAGCGACATAGCCACGCTCGTCCACTATCCCTCCCGCAGCTATAATGGGAATGCCACGACCGCGGACTAGATCCGCCACCCTTGGAACCAACGTCATTAATGCATCCTATATATAAAATAACGCGAGCAGCCGATCAAAAGGAACATGTCATGTTCTAATAAATGAAAGGGTTAAGGAAACATTCCATAATACGGAGTATATAACAGGATCATGCTAGAAACCCACCACAGGTGCCTCCACGCATGACAATTACAGATAATTTATACATAGACAGACGATAATCATATGTGATTACACGAGAATATCTTCTCTATATTATAAATTATCTGTGATTTGTGTACTGGGTACGAAGTAGTATATGTTATCATACCTGGCCAATAACGTGCCCTCCCGCTTCTCGACCTTGAACGATAATGGCATCGACTCCAACATCATATGCTCTCTTTGCTTCTTCATAGCTCCCCACCTCATTAAAAGTGTTATATATCATGTCATATAATTATAACTAGTCGAGTTCTTTTTAAGTTAAAACACTTGAATCGATTGGATTTCGATATAAGAACGACGACTCACTTGAGGCACAACCTTGATGCCAGCTTTATGAGCCGCAGAGACCAGTTCCTCCGTGCACTCACCCCAGTAGAGCTGTAAAACGGCAACCTTCTCATCAAGAATGGCCTTGACGTTCTCCTCGTGAGGAAAGGCAAGAACCACTCCAATCCCAAATGGCTTGTCCGTTAAGGTTCTTGTCTTTCTTATGATTTCCCTCACTCGATCTGGATCCTCCTGTGGAATATGCATACTTCACACAATCAAGAAAATGATATACTCCGTATTATCGTTTTAAGGAGATTAAAAATGGAGATGAGAGAGAGGCGGGGATTGAACAGACCCAATCAGGGGCTCTAAGGAGACCGAGTCCGCCGGAATTTGTGACGGCGGCAACGAGCTCCGGGCCGGAGATGTCGGGTCCCAACGGCGCCTGGACAATTCCATACTCAAAACCCAATATCCCTCTCCAGCCCATCCTGATTTTTTTCAAGCTCAAAATAATTGAGAACTCAGCTCTGATCCACCATAAAAAGGATCAGGCCATTTGTTTGATGGAATAGTCAGCCATTACATTATTGTAGTACAATTTTTGTCTGTCTGTGTGTGTTCTTTTGTCCTTTGTAGCCAGTATTATGAAAAGACAATTCTTATTATATCATTAAATATAAAATTTGCACTAAATAGTACTAAAGTATATATTATTTCTCAATGTAGTACCTAAAAGTTTTTATTTCTTTAACAATACTTGAATAATATCCAATGGCAGGAGCACGCACATTTACTTTGAACAATGTCCAGTGGCGGTGGACATTTACTTGAACAATATCCAATGGACATTAAACAATGGTAATACATTGGGAACTTAAAATATACTCCGTATGGTACTACATTGAGAAACTCACTATGGTTTAATATTATATAAGTAAATTCCACTTATGAAATACGAGTAATAGATAAACTACAAGTGTACTCAGTTTATTGATAGGGTGAATAATCCTAATTGAGATATTGAACATACATCCGAGCCTATTTCAAAGTTGACAACAATAAGTTCTTCGATTTTAAGTCATTCCAAACAGTTCTTTTCATTTCTTTGTAGGGAAACTAATACTCAGGCTACACTTTTGAGGGAATTTCACCATCTAATCATCAGTTAATTTCACACACTCACAAAAGAAACAACTTACTCAGAATATAAAATTTCTCAACATCTACAAACAGTTCAAACAAATGTACTTCTGAAGTTTGAAATGTTGAAAGAAAATGCACTTGTCAAGCTGCCCTTCTTGAAAGAAAAGCCAATATAAAACACAGAGCAGAATCAACGGTTGACAATGCAACGATAAACAGAGCGACTAGAACAAGTGCCAGACTAGCCGTCTTCAGCTGCAGCAACAAAAGTAATATTGGCATCATATATATATATATACACACACACACACACACACACACATATATATATATACATACATACATATATATATGTATGTATGTATGTATGTATGTATATATATATATATGTGTGTGTGTGTATATATATATATGTATGTATATACTCCGTATGTATGTATGTGTGTGTGTGTGTGTGTGTGTGTGTATATATATAACATTAGTCAACAAAAAAAGAGTTTACATTTGTAGACTAACCGTGCTTTGGATGCTTGGCCACTCTATGTACTTGAGCTGGCTTGGCTGTTCAGCAAGAAATGATACTAGAGTCTTAAATGGCCTGTATATTAAAAAGTTAATTGATTAGAGAAAATTTGATCTACATGAGTTCATAATAATTCCATTATTAAAACTATTAGTCAAACACATGTGAAAACTTTTGAAATGAAAGGATCTGCTCCTATGGCTCAACACTTTTACAAAAACTATTAGTCAAACACATGTGAAAACTTTCAGAATAAGTACACTATACCAGAGCCCAACTAGAGGTATTTTACTTGATAATTCATAATTGGTTTTTCCCCTTAAATTTTCCATGCCCAGAAATGAGAAATTGTGTTCTCCTTTGTACAGTTTGTTTTGTTTGCCTAACATTTTTCTCTTGGTATTAGTATATTGTAGCATCCAAATGACACAAAGCTATGAAAATGTGAGGAATACTGAGAAATGGGTCTACAATAGCAAAGTTAGCAAAACATATTTGAAATCTTAATATTGGCAAGCAAAAGTTTCAAGCCCACTCATATTCCATTATATTGGTAGAGGTAAGATTTGTATACACCCACCCTTCCCAAACCCACTCCAATCTTTTGGAAGCAATCTCTCTACTTTAAGTAGGGGTAAGGTCCGACGCATACACCAACCCCTCCTAGACCCCACTTGTGGGGTGTTACTAGGCTGTTATTGTTTCTATTGTTGTTCATATTTCGTTTCAGTGATACCAAGCTAGAAGCCTAGAACAACAAGTGAAGCTAAGAAATCAGACAGAGATATGTAGCAACGACAACAACAACAACAACAACAACAACAACACCAACACCAACCCAGTTGGATTCCACGAAAGTAGGGTCTGGCACACAGAGATAGGCATTGCGTATAAAGTACCTGAACCACTTCATCAACTCTCCATCATCATTATCATCACTAAAGTATGGATGATCCCTTTGGGCATATGAACTGCATTTGAAATCATGACGTGCACGCGATGTATGCTCAATCCTAAAGCTAGTTTGCCTAGTTGTCTACCAAAAGGGAAACCCATCAGAAAGCTCATCCACACAAGGCATAATGTATGATACATTACTCCAGCGTTAAGTGGTATACATGGAATGATATTCCATGAAACCCATTTTCTTTTTACCCGTGTTTCGTAGGCAAGGGAGGGGATTATTTTTCGTAGAGATAAGGAATTTCTTTTCTTGTGATAATATCATGTGTTTTGTAGTACTATTTCATAGACATGTAATGTCAACTTTAAAATGTAGACTTGAGAGCTCATCACAAGTTTTATTAAAGATAGCATACCAATGAAATTCCTTCACAGCAAGGCCTCATTCCGTCGTTCATGTAACTGCAGCTCATAATAACAAAGAATTATCAATCTCAACCTCACAAAATTGAATTTTTTACTGGGGAAATGCAAAGAGAAATTTCCATTTCCGTGCACAGTTAAAGCTAATAAGGTTTACCTAGGGTTTTTTTCTTCCTCAACAGCTACAATCTCCCAATAATTGATGAAAATGCAAAAGTTTTTAAGCAAATTTAAGCAAGAATATGGTAGATACAAAGAATGCGATATGAAATTAATAATAAAAATTGAAATTTTAAAAAGAGGAAAGCATACTTGACTCTCATACGAGCAAGACGATCGGCGACGGAGCTGCCGTTTTCCATATGCGGCTCTTTGGCGCCGGAGGTGTAGCTGGACAAGGCGTAAGCGCCCACCGTCGATGACGTCAACATCTCTGTTACCTGCGAGATTCTCAGCCGCTTTCTTCTCCACGGTTCCGCTATGGGCGGCCGGGCAGGCGGAGAGAGTATACAGAAAGCCGCCGGATTCACAAAACTATTGGGCCGGGAAACTACATGGGTCGATCATAATGCATTATCAGCCCATACCCATTTTATTGCGTGGACCGGATCTGGTGAAGAAAGTAAATTGCGGAAACTATTGGGCTTATAAAATACTTGGGCCCAGCCTCTGATCTAAGCTTTCTTATTAATTATTATGGGTCCTTGTCAATTTCTTATCAATTAATCAACTAAATTATTCAGTTTTCATATTTATTTTCCTTGTTAAGCAATAGCATTATTTTATTGGATCATGTCTATCTGTATATAGGCCAAAATAATGATCTTCATATTTGTCATCAACTCCATAAATATTATGGAGTATTATTAATTAACCAAAGTAACCCATACCAATCTCCTTTTTGACATGGGTGATTACGATTGATTATGGTTGCCTAACTATCTCTCAATTATTCCCCAAAATACTCACTCAACATACATATATACACACACATTCATACCAGCTCCATTTGTCTCAAAATAAACTTTCCAATTTTTTATAATTGTTTCAAATAAATCAATAAGGGTATTTTGGACAAAAGCACACCTTGTTTCTTTAAAGTTCTTACAACGGGAGCGACTATCAACCAAGAGGGTGGTATGGCAAAGAGATCGAGATCAAGTACCCACAGTGTCAGTCAAATATGAACAAAATATTTCATTCATCCCAAACTGATTTTTTTTACTATTACGGTCTCTCGATAACTTTTATTTGTTTACATATTTTCATTGAAGCTTTGTTTAGTACACTGGATTCAAACTATATAATTGAAATTTGGGACAACAATTCTAATTCTGCTATTTGGTAGCACAAAATATGTGAATTCAGAATTGGTAGGGACAAAATGAATTGTAACTGGAGAATTCAATTCCATCAAAATCAACTCCCAATTCAATTCCAATTCCGTCAATTTTGTGTCCCAAACAAACCTTGAGTATTTGATAAAATAAAATATTTTTGTCATTTCTTATTTTGTAGAACTTTTGATATAATTCTTGCATTGTGGCAATGTAGCACTATGCATATGCAATTTATTATACTTTTTGGTAATGTACATGGTCATGACTCATGATCGGTAATGTAAATATATTTTAACTATTATTTTGATATATTTTCAATGTTTTACTCCTACTTTAGTCTTTTTTCTAAAAAAAAATTATAAGTCATTCAAAAGTTCCTATAAAAAAAGAAAAAGAATTTTTTCAACGTTAAAAAAATAAAGAGTCTTCTTTTGGATTATTGCGTTCAAATATATATCCCCGTTTTGGCATTTTTGTGGCCTGCCCTAAAATTCCCTTACACACACAAAAGGACGCTTCTAGGTAGGCTCATAAGGGCAGAAGTTTCATGGGTGTCCAACTCATTTCGGGTCCATACCCTACACCTCTTTGATCCGATGACAATGTACTTTCCGTCCTTTGAATTTTAGGGCACCCCCGGACAAAAAACACAGTCCCAGCCACCAATGGAGAATTGAATAATAGTCCTTTGACAAAGCAACCCAACGTCTCGCCCAAATTATTGGATTCTTACTTTTAGGTACAACAAATAATAGGAAAGCATAGTACTCTTACTCGATTATTGCTCTAGTTTTGTTGGTCCAAAAAGGTGGAATCGGAGGCGCCCCCACCCACTTGCCTGACAAAGATGGTGGAGGAAGTAAATCATGGTGACTCAGTCGGCCTATGGTCATTGGTTCAAGATTTCACGCTCTTGACCAACTGAGTTGCCCATGCAGGCTTATTGCTCTAGTTTTGTTATTTAGAGTTTTGGATGATTTTTAAATCATGTAAATTAGTTTTGAAAATGTTAAAATTAATAATTCTTATTTGATATTTGTGTTTTTTAAACTCAAAAGTTAAGCGCTATAATAAATAAACATGGAGTATTTTATTTTTGAAATTCAATAGTTCTATATTAAAAAGTCCAACAGATTAATATTTCAGACCAGTAAAAATATTTATTATTTATTTTAGTGGATTAAGTCATAAAAAACTAAAACAAAAAAAATATTCCATATCATGACAAAAACAATGCATACCAAGATAGATAAAAATGTTTTTTCTCCAAAATAAACCCAAAAGAAAATAATTTTCCTTCTTCGTAGTGCATTTGTTTCTCCCATTTTCTTATAATTTTCTCCTACTTTTTGTTCTTATCTAACCAACCATGAAATATTATTTTCTTCCACAAATTCTTTTCTTTTATTTTTAAAAAAGTTAAGCAAATTCTATAATCAAATACTTTCTCCGTTCCCCTAAGATCTTCTCGTTTTGACTTTTTATGGTTTTTAATGAGAGTTGAAAAAAGGTGAAAATTTACCATAATACCCTTAATGGAAATGGGTGGAGTATATTAAATGAGGTATGTAAGGTGTAATAAATAAAGTAAGTGAGGGTAGTTGTGATATTTTAATTGTTAAAAAAGGTAATGAGAAGATCTATGGTGGACAAATAAAAAGGACTAATGGGAAGATCTATGAGGGACGAAGGGAGTATTACTCAGGTGATTCTTCTTTTATGGTATTTTTCCAATAATAGTTTTCTTAGTCTTTTCTCATGTTGGTGCATGTTAACTTGAGAACTAAAATTGTAAATTTACAACGATCATATATCTATTTTGTCATACACAATTTGTAATGCATCATTTCTGCTTTGCGTTTGGTATCTACTACAACGATAATATACAGATGTGGTCTTTCGTTGAAATCTCATTCCAATTCTACAACTCATAGAATTGGAGAAACAACGATAGATTTTAGCCTATTGTTCATTATACAATATTTTGAAAACAATTTATATAAAATCATAAGGAGTGATAAGGAAAACAAAACCAAATATTCTATGATCATAAGATTTTATGGACTTTAATATATAAACATTATAGATGAATTGGATTTATTGAAAAAAATAAAAGATGTTGAGATTAATTTGAAATGGAAAGAGTGGGAGGGGAAGAATAGTGACGTGGTGGAAAAAGTTGATAGTTGTCACTTGTTGGGTGAGTCGTCGCTGTTTCATTTTCTCCGCCGAAAGTCACTAATCGGTCTTCGCTATATCTCCGTTAATCGCCGCCGTTCAGCTGGACCATCCGACGGCTGCAATTTAATCACTTGCGCTAATCGACCAATTAATCAATTAATTAAAAGGAAACCACGAGGAAGATTAATCTTACCAATTAAAGACGGGGCTAATCTGACTGGGACTGTGTCGTTAATCTTCTTTATTAATCGTATCATTTTAATTTTATTTTTGTTTTTTTTGTTACACGTATCATTATTATTTTTTGTTTTTTATAACTCGTATTATTTTTTTGTTATTTATAACTCGTATTATTAATATTATTTCACGATTTGACACATTTCATATTGTACGGAACATTAAAAAGAGTACTCTATATGGTTTATCTCAAGTGTGAGTGTGTGACCTTAAGTTTGACATTAATGTCTATACGAATATTGCAAACATCCTTCAAAAAAAAAATGCAAACATAGAAAAGGTTTAACATTTTTGTAAAATTTGTAAAGACTTTTTTTTTCAAATTTGGGATATCAAAGTTCAACAACAAATTCGCTCTGGTTTTAAAGTTTACAATCATTTTACACAAGACATCGATGACAGACCTACCAGACCAGGCCTAATTCACATACGGAGTATAAAATTTGAATTCAAAACCTTAAATTCATTGATTTAATTCACTCAGTATTAGCGTATTGTTTAGGAAAAATTAGTAAATTAATGATTGCTGATATAATATCAACTAATGATTCACTTATTAATTTTTTGTTTGAATTTTAAAATTTTCATTGTTTGTATTATTCAATTTGTGGCATATTGTGTTGAAAAAAAGAACATTGATTTAGAAAATAAATTTATACTCCGAACGGGGTATAATTTTATTAGTCAAGATTAATGGCCCTTTTCTTTGGCCTCGTGCCGGGCCATAAAATTCTCTAGACCGGCTCTGATTTTACATATGAATCCCTATATATAAACAATTAAACACTATGAATTGAATATTGAGCTATTTGAAGAAAAAAATCATGTCGGTCCATAAAAAGTATGAGAAATTAAAGTTCATATTTAACATATATACTGCCTCATGAACATGGAAGAATATTTTTTTTAAAAAAAAGCTTTAATAGCGAATAGTTTTTTATATAGTGTGTATAACTTGTTGGAGTTCCCGCATCAGTTTTACGTTAAATCATTCTGCAATGTATCGGAGCAGGTTCGATCCGGGTTCGATTTTTCCTGATGGTTGGACGTAGGTTTAGCAAAAAGATGAGCTACGTACCCGTCCGTAGTTTGGATTGAGTTGGCTAAAAAGATTGAGATGTCACCGCCCGTTGTGTGGACTAGCTATTTAAATAAAAATTACGTACATGTTAAATTATTTATTACTCCAAAATTTTCCTCCAAAATGATACTCGTATTTATTATTAAAAAAATTTAAAATTCATGGTCAAAATTTATTAACTTCAACTTAAAAAAATTAGAACTGAACAAATATTTGGGAAAGGCAGTACAAATTTATGTACTAATACTAGTATTACTTTTTGAAAAAAAAACTTGATGGTGTTAGTGAAGTGGTCCGCCGTCCATCCATTTCTTACTGGCGGTGACTAGTGGAGCTCGCAATATCCTTCCCCCCGCCCGCCGCCCCACACCACCGTCGCACACAAAAGGTTCCCACCAAAAATAAAATAAAAAAAGAAAAACTTTTGAGTTGCCATACATTGCCAATGTTTAATTTGTTATACGAGTTATTTATATATTTTTCAATTCAATTTAGGCAAATTATAACGACAATACTTAAGGTTACGTTTGAGAAAACAATTAAGCACGATAAATTAAGGAATAATCCCACGGGATATATAGAATTAGAAGAAAAAAGAACCACCAAGTTAAAGAAAAGGCATTGAGGGAGGAAAAGTCTTCCATGATCTTGAGATTATTAATTTTTTTAATCATGCGATTAGGCATAATGTGATGGACAACTACAATATTTATTAATTTTTTTTTAAATCACGGGCGAATGAAAGCACTACGACTTTATTGTGCACTTGGATAAGCCCTACTACTATCCTACCTACTAATTGGAATTATCTTAGAGCTAATACCTATAGATTATTGTAGTAAAAAATCGACTATTACAGTGCTCAACTGGTAAAATTGTGTTTTCATTATGGTCTTGCGGAAAAGCAGTTAATTAATTACGTTCGAATTGTCAGAAAGGCCAAAGATTCAACCAGTAAAGTTTTACTTCAAATACTTGGAATGCGTTTGGATAACATTCTTTTTCGGCTAGATAGGTATGGCTTCTACGATTCCTGCAGCATGTCAATTAGCTAACCATAAACATGTTTTAGTGAATGGCCGTCTAGTAGATAGACTAATAGACCGAGTTATCGCTGCAAACCCCGCGATATTTATTCATACTCCTTTAATTCTCTTAAATCCCTCAGTTCATGTCCCCCTTACACTCCGATCCACCCCCCATCTGCCCCCCTAGATCAACGATTTGGCAAGGCTAAATCGGCGATCTTGGAAGAGGGAGCGAGGGATATGAAGGTAGAAACTATTAATTTTATATACGAAAATATGATTTTAAATTTCAAAATCAAAAGAATTATTTGGCTCCGTTTGGTACACGCAATTCAAACATTGGAATTGGAATTGGATATGATTATTCCAATTTTACTACTCCAAAAATAATGCCAAAAATAAATTGGAATTGGAAAATTCAATTCCATTCAAATCAATTAGGTTGAATTTCAACACCCAATTTAATTCTAATTCCATGAATTCTAGGTACCAAACTCACCTTTGTGATGTTCTTGGGATGTTGAACCTTTAAAATTAATTTCTTGTTCATCCATTAAGCATTTTTTTAAATATATTACACAATTGTCAATTGATTTGAATAACAAAATGTTCGTATTGCCTAGCTATGCATCTGCTAAGATATTTCCATTTCTAATATTTGATCCAAAATGGAGCCATTAGTTCTCAAACAAAATCATGACGTGCCGATTTATCAAATCAGACAATATCTTGATGTACATTTACAACCTTATTTAATTAAATAAAGAAATTCATTTAATAATCAAGCCTTTTTTTGAACAACGATTTATACTAATATATAATTAATGATTCCAATGAATGCGAGGAGCCGATGACTATAACGATGGCTTACCCATCCAAGTGTTCAAAACGTCCGTTTTTAAATACATATAGAGTCTCTTTGGAAATATCCTTAGATGTTAGTGTTAAACAATAATAATAGTATTACTTGTGGTAGTATTGGTTGTGGTAGTGTTTCATTATTAGTCAGTTTCCTAATTCTATTTGTGATAGATGTTGTATGTTAGTTAGTTTCTATTCTATATTCCTAGTTGTGTTAGGAGTCTCTCCTATATATACTCTATCATGTACCCCATAATTCAAGGAGCAATATTATTATTCAAATATTTCAACATGGTATCAGAGCCACCGCTCTTGGTGACCTAAAAAAAAGTTCTTTGCTCCCACCGCCGCCGCCGGTAATTTCGGCGACGGCGGCTCCACCCTATTCATCTTTATTTTCTTTTTCTTCTTTATTCTCAAATTAACTTCTCCATTCAAAAAAAAAAGAAAAAAATTCCCGTGTTGAAATCACAAAAAAAAGCCGTCAAAGGAGGAGCTTCCCTCTTGCCATCTCCATGGTTCTTCAAAAAAAAACCAACTCCACACAAACACTCTCAACTCATCCTTGTATCTTCTCAAAATCATGGGAAAAAAAGATAGTTGTTTCTCTACAATTCACTATCGAAGATTCTTAGACCTAGATCTTTTCTTCATCACCAATTCTTAATCCCCTTTTTTCTCTTTCAAATCACTCATTCTAATCATCAGTGTTTCTTCTCTTTATCCTTTGTTAACCAATAAAATTTCAAAAAAACACAAAAGCAAAGCCAAGAAGGGAAGTAGTGAAAGAGGAAAGAATACCTCTACACCCCTTCAAGAAAGAAATAGGGCATTGCCCGGATCCAAGAAAAAGACAAAGAATGTCAAAGATCT